GAATATGCTCCTAACCCCGAAATCATTAAATGGAGCTAAGGGAACCATCAGATTTCCATTTCGAGGCCGTCTTCACACTATTCGGACTACAGCCAACCTTCCAACACTTAAGATCTCATTTAAGGACTAAGTGTCCCAAAACTCTCCGAAACTTAAAACCGAACATCCCGGCAAATCAAAATAGCATAAATAAACTCAGGGAAAGTAGTTAATAAGGGATCGGGGCATTAATTTATAAGACGACCGGCCGGGTTGTCACATCCTCCTACACTTAAACATTCGTTCATCCTCGAACGAGCATAGAGACATACCTAAATTAGTGAAAAGTTGAGGGTAACGGCTGCGCATATCCTGCTCGGTCTCCTATGTTGCCTCCTCGACCAGCTGACCCCGCCACTGAACCTTCACTGATGCAATGTTCTTTGATCTCAGCTTTCTGACCTGCCTGTCCAATATTGCCACTGGCTCCTCAACATAAGATAGATCCTTGTCGAACTCGACTGAACTGAAATCCAACATGTGTGACGGGTTACCATGATACCCCCGGAGTATCGAAACATAAAATACTGGATGAACCCCTGCCAAGCTGGGAGGTAAGGTAAGCTCATAAGCAACCCCCCCCCCCNTGCGAACCTTCCAGTACGCGTAACTCTTCTGTCTGGACTGGGTTGTACGGAGTCTATCCTAAATCACCTTAACCTTCTCCAAAGCATCCTGAACCAAGCCTATGCCCAATAGTCTAGCCTCACCTGGCTCAAACCACCCCACCGGAGATCTACACCGCCTACCATATAAAGCCTTATACGGTGTATATGAATGCTGGATTGATAGCTGTTGTTGTAAGCAAACTCCGCCAATGGCAAGAACTGATCCCAAGACCCTCCAAACTCAATCACACACGCACGGAGCATATCCTCAAGAATCTAAATAGTGCACTCGGACTGTCCGTCCATCTGAGGGTGAAATGTTGTACTCAACTCCACCCGAATAACCAACTCATGCTGTCTGGCCCTCCAGAATCGTGATGTGAACTGAGTACGTCTATCTAAAATGATGGACACCGGAATACCATGTAGGAGAATAATCTCTCGGATATAAATCTCCGCCAACTGCTCTGAAGAATAAGTAGTACACACAGGAATGAAATGAGCAGACTTGGTCAGCCGATCCACAATCGCCCAAATAGCATCAAACTTCCTCAAAGTCCGTGGGAGTCCAACTATAAAGTCCATGGTGATCTGCTCCCACTTCCACTCCAGAATCTCTATCTGCTGAAGCAACCCACCTGGTCTTTGGTGCTTATACTTCACCTACTGACAGTTGAGACACCGAGTTACGAATCCAACTATATTTTTATTCATCCGCCTCCACTAATAGTGTTGCCTCAAATCCTGATACATCTTTGCGGCACCCGGATGGATGGAATACCGCGAACTATGGGCCTCCTCTAGAACCAACTCTCGCAGCCCATCAACATTGGGTACACAAATCCGACCCTGCATCCCCAATACCCCATCATCACCAATAGTCACATCTTTGGCATCACCGTGTTGAACTTTGTCCTTGAGGATAAGCAAATTAGGGTCATCATATTGCCGCTCCCTGATACGATCAAATAAGAAAGACTGAGAAACCACGTAAGCTAAAACCCGACTGGGCTCTAAAAGATCCAATGTCATAAACTGGTTGGCTAAGGCCTAAACATCCATTGTCGTAGGCCTCTCCGATGCTGGGAAATATGCCAAACTCCCCAAACTCTCTGCCCGGCGACTCAAGGCATCAGCCACTACATTGGCCTTGCCCGGGTGATACAAAAAAGTGATATCATAGTCCTTCAGCAACTCTAACCATCTCCTCTGGCACAAATTTAGATCCTTTTGCTTGAACAGGTGATGCAAGCTCTGATGGTCAGTATAAATCTCATAAGGAACCCCATATAAATAATGGCGCTAAATCTTCAGGGCATGAACAATGGAAGCTAACTTAAGGTCGTGAATAGGGTAGTTTTTCTCATGTATCTTCAATTGTCTGGACGCGTAGGTAATCACCCTACCATCCTGCATCAACACCGCTCCGAGGCCAACCCTCGAGGCATCACAATAGACCGTATAAGACCCCGAACTTATGGGCAACATCAAAAGTGGGGCTGTGGTCAAAGCCGTCTTGAGCTTCTAAATGCTCGCCTCACACTCCTCTGTCTACTGGAATGAGCACCCTTCTAGGTCAGCCTGGTCATAGGGGTTGTAATCGATGAAAATCCCTCAAAAAGACGACGGTAGTAACCCGCCAAGCCAAGGAAACTGCGGATCTCTGTAGCTGAGGATGGTCTGGGCCAACTCTGCACGGTCTCTATCTTCTTCGGATCCACCTGAATACCCTCACTTGATACCACGTGGCCTAGACATGCCACTGAATCCAACAAAAACTCACATTTCGAGAACTTAGCATATAACTTTCTCGAACCTACAATATCACCGTTATGAGAGGTACGTTTCAACCAATTAAATTATAAGCCCATACGGATCTCTACACGCAATTCGCTCACTTTGGGAAGAGCGGACGGAAAGAGAAGGCCTTTGTCCTATCTGCTTCTTCCTCTTCCCAGGAATGAAGAGTTTTATAAAAAATGATTTTCTTTATTTTTGTTTTTTATTTTTGTTTATAGATAGATATGTAATATAATATTATCTATCTATTATTATTATATATCTAAATAATATTAAGCAAGTGGCCCTTTCGCGACTCAAACAGCCGGTACGCTTTCCGGCTCAAAGGGGCGGGGGCTTTATATTTGCTTGCAATGCCGGTTGTTTCTCTCTCAAAGTCTGAAGCACAGTCCTTAGGTGCTACTCATGATCTTCCCGACTCCGGGAATACATCAGAATGTCATCAATAAAGACAATGACGAATGAGTCAAGATATGGTCGGAACACACTGTGCATCAAATGCATAAAGGCTGATGGGGCATTGGTCCGCCCAAATGACATGACAAGGAACTCGTAATGACTATACTGAGTCCTGAAAGCAGTCTTCGGGATATCTGGCTCCCGAATCTTCAACTGATGGTAACCTAAGCGCAAATCAATCTTAGAAAACAACTGTGCGCCCTAAAGCTGGTCAAATAGATCATCAATACGAGGCAAAGGATAGCGGTTCTTCATTGTAACCTTGTTCAACTGGCGATAATCGATACACATACACATAGAACCATCCTTCTTCTTCACAAACAAGACAGAAGCACCCCAAGGTGATACACTGGGCCGAATAAAACCCTTATCAAGCAATTCCTGTAATTGATCCTTCACATCCTTCAACTCAGGAGGAGCCATACGATATGTAGGGATAGAAATGGGATGAGTGCCCGGCAATAGATCAATGCCAAAATCAATATCTCTATCAGATGGCATGCCCGGAATGTCAGCTCGAAACACATCCGAAAATCCCGTACTACTGGGACTGAATCAACTGAAGGGGTATCAATACTGACATCTCTTACAGAAGCTAAATACGCGTCACATCCCTTCTCAACCATACGCTGAGCTTTAAGAAAAGAAATAACTCTACTGGGAGTGTGATCTAAAGCACCCCTCCACTCAAACACGGTATACCTGGCATAGCCATCGTCACGGTTTTGGCGTGACAATCAAGAATAGCATAATGGGGCGACAACCAGTCTGTGCCCAAGATAATATCAAATCAACCATGCTGAGTAACAATAAATCGGTTGTGGTCTCAAAACCACTAAGAGCAACCAAACACGACCGATAAACGTGGTCCACAACAAGAGAATCTCCCACCGGGGTAGAAACATAAATAGGGGAACTCAAAAAATCCCGAGGTACACCCAGATGCGGAGCAAAATAAGAAGACGCATAAGAGTAAGTGGATCCTAGATCGAATAGAACTGTTGCATCTCTGTGACAAACCAGTATAATACCTGTGATGACAGAATCGGAGGCAACAACCTCGGTACGGGCAGGAAGGGCATAGTATATGGCTTGGCCTCCCCCTCTAGGGCGACCTCTACCTCCCTGACCTCCACCTCTAGCTGGCTGAGTAGGTGGGGTAGCAACTGGAGTCGTAACCATAGCCTGAGAACTCTGCGGGGCACGTTGTGGCTGAGAAGTCTGTGGAGGTGCACCCCTCCCAAGTCTGGGGAAATCCGTCACCATATGGCGTGTGTCACCACAGTCAAAACAAGCTCTGGGAGGACGTGATGGCTGTGACTGGCTAGAGCGGGGTCTGCTGGACTGACCTCGGAAAGCACCCCGCACAGGAGGCACGCTAGAAACCGGAGGTGCATAATAAAGCTCCTAAGGCCTAGGAGGAGATGGAGCACTACTGGCTGCTGGAAGAGCTGAATGAACAGGGCGACTCATATAACCCCTACCATGATGTCCTGCAGCTGGGGCACGGGCACCAGAGAAGTGGCCCGACTCTCGAGACCTCTTGGCCTCCCTGTCCTCTCTATCCCTAGCATGCATACCCTCAATCCTCCTAGCAATGCTCACCACCTGCTGATAAGAAATATCCATCTCCAACTCACGAGCCATGCTAGATCTGATGCTGGGAATAAGGCCCTCAATAAACCGGTGAACCCTCTCGCGGACAGTAGAAACCCAGGCTGGGACATGTCTAGCCAAGCTAGTGTAACAGATAGCATACTCTAAGATAGTCATAGTACCCGGGCGCAAATGCTCAAACTCTGCGCGCCATGCGTCCCTGAGTCTCTGAGGAACATACTCTCTCAGGAACAAATCTGAAAACTGAGCCCAAGTCAGTAAAGCAACCTCATCTGGACTATCTAACTCATAGGTGCGCCACCACTCGTAGGCGGCCCCTCGAAGCTAGAAAGTAGTGAAGGAAACCCCACTCTATCCATATATACCAATGGTACGGAGAATGCGGTAACACTCATCTAGAAATCCCAAAGAATCATCCGATGCTAGACCATTAAATACAGGAAGCTTGTACTTCTTGAACATCTCAAGCCTCAGCTACTCATCCTCGGAAGCCGTTGCCCTGTCCTCGGGCTGAACCGGCACTGCAGGTGGCACAAGAATAATCTCAGGGACTTGCTCAACATGAATTCGCTGCTCAGGAGTACGGGCGGCGGGACTCTATGCTCCTCCCCCAGTCTAGGATATGGCTGCAGCAATGAGGAGTAACCATGCCTGAGCCAAGGTGATGTACATGCTCATGAACTGCGCCAAAGTCTCCTGAAGAGCTGGAGTAGTAGTAGTAGCAGTAGGCATGTCAGGTGCCTGGACTTCAGCTGGAATTGCTGGTGGTACATTGGCGGTAGCTCGCGTAGGGGCTCTGGCTGCACCATATGCGCGTCCTCGGCCTCTACCCAGGCCCTGGCCTCTAATGGCTGCAGTAGGGGGCACGGGTGCCTGATCATCTCGAGTAGCACGTGTCCTCCCCATCTGTGAGAGAATAGAAGACAGAAGTTTAGAATTGTGATGTCAAAATATCGCTCGACAAGGCAATCAAATGAAGTGGAAATTTTCCTAACAGTTGCGTAGCCTCTCGTAGATAAGTACAGACGTTTCTGTACCGATCAACGAGACTCTAATAAACCGGTTTGTGATCTATGACTCCTATGAACCTGAAGCTCTGATACCAACTTGTCACGACCCCCGTTCACCCTCCGTGAACTGCCGTGACGGCACCTAGTCTCTACGACTAGGTAAGCCTAACAAATGCGGAACATAAACGAAACTTGCGGAAGAAATAATCAAAAGCCACAATAACTGAATGGAAAAATAGTTAGAATGTCACTCGGTATATATAACACAACATTCTCAAAAGCAGTACACTATCCCAAAACCCGGAAACTCACGGAAACACAAGCCTTTGGAATATCTAGCAGTCTAACTCCAAAATATCTAACAAGAAAGAAAAATACATAAGGGCAATGTTTAACAGCTAGAATAGAAAGGGACTTCTCGGTCTGTGGACACGGCAGATGTACCTCGAAGTCTCTAGAGCAGTTTCCTCCCTGAACGATGGTAGGCTTGAGTAGCGGTACCTGGATCTGCACATGAAAAACATGCGCAGAAAGGGCATAAGTACACCACAGCGGTACTCAGTAAGTGTCAAGCCTAACCTCGGTCGAGTAGTGACAAGGAAGGTCAGAGCCCTATAGAGATTAAACAAAAACATAAAGTTCGACAGTATAGAATAGAACAGTATAATGAAATACGGCAGTGAAAGTAACATGATATACAGGATAGCAGCAACTATATAGAAGCGAGGTAAACACAGAAAGAAAGTACAGCTCAGCACCAATAATATCGATCCGGGATCTCCCAGGATATCGTCCTGTAGCCCCAAATACACATATCCATTAAGTCTTCCGGGATACCGTCCCATAGTCCAATTCATAGTGCGCGGGGATGTACCGAAATCTCGTTCCGTAGTCCCAAATGAAAATACCCTGTACTGGGGGAATCTATCGGGTGCATTACTGTAGTTCCATATAACTATGCAGGGGGATCTACCGGAATCCCACATCCGTAGTCCCAAAATAAATACACAACAGCAACAAGAAAATTTTCAGAAATGGAAATTTCATATTAAGGAAACAATTAATTCTAGCCTAGCATGCTGCACAGAGTTCTGGTAAACATGTTGGACAATTAAAGCAAATAAATCACTTAAACATGCTTTCCTAAGCTAACAACAGGCTTAATAGTACAAGTAATGAAAGTCGGAAAAGAAACATAATAATCAATACTTAAAGAAAACCGGATTTCCAACAATTTGCACAAGTACGCACTCGTCACCTCACGTACAAGGCATTTTAATTACCAAATATATAAATCCAAAGGGGAAGGTCCCCCACACAAGGTTAGACAAGCCACTTACCTCGAACCGGCTCAAAAATCAACCCGAGACCACGTTCTTGCCACGAGTACTAGACTCCAAATGGCCAATCTATTCAATTCAATTGCATAATATAAATAACACTTCAAGTAACTGATTCTAAAATTAAAGTCTAAGCTAATACGTGAAATTATGTAAAATGACCAAAACACCCCTCGGGCTCGCGTCTCGAAATCAGATGAAATTTACATTTTCAGAATTCTCAAACTCTCACGAAACTTTACATAACAAGAACACTGAAATCGTAGTCTAAATGGCCCCTTAAATCCTCATTTAAAGGTCTCTTAAACACAAGCCCTAATTACCCTTTTTCCCAAAAAATTTTGCCACTAATTAGACCTTTAATCACATAAAAACGAGTTATGAAGTCAAGGATGTTACCTCCAAGTGATTCCCCTTTGTTTTCCTCAAAAATCTCTCTCAAAAGCTTCAAACCCGGATGAAAATGGTGAAAGAATTGCTCAAATTCGCGAAGGCAACTATTTATATGTTCTGGCCTAGGCATTTTCGCATCTGCGGCCCAATTTCCACTTCTACGGTACCGCAATTACGGTCCTTGAACTGCATCTGTGGTTTTTCACTTAAGTCCCAATTTTCGCTTCTGCGTTCCCTTTTTCGCATCTGCGGCATCGCAGATGCAGCCCCTAAGCCGCTTCTGCGGTTCCAGCCTTCCCAGGCTCTTTCCGCTTCTGCGCTCCTTTTCCCCGCATCCGCGGCATCGCAGCTACGGTCCCCAATCCGCAGGTGCGGAAAAAACAGCAGCAGAAAATCTGAAGCTTTCTCAAAAATTCCAAACTCTCTGTTAACTATCCGAAATCACCCCGAGACCCCCGGGACCTCAACCAAAAGTACAACATCACCTAATACCTTATTCAAACTTGTACCAATCTTCAAAACACTTCAAACAACATCAAATCAACCAAAACACAGCGGATTCAAGTCTAAGTTTCTAAAACCTTCCGAATTCCGCTTTTGATCAAAAACATAACCAACCCACGTCCGAATGACCTAAAATTTTGCACACACATCCCAAATGACACAACGGAACTACTGCAACTTTCGGAATTCCATTTCGACCCTCAGATCAAAATCTCGCTATCGAACCGGAAACTTCAAAAATTCAACTTTCGGCATTTCAAGCCTAAATTAGCTACGAACCTCCAAAACACAATACGAACACGCTCCTAACCCCGAAATCACCCAACGGAGCTAACGAAACCATCAGACTTCCATTCCGAGGCCGTCTTCACATTGTTCCGACTACGGCCAACCTTTCAACACTTAAGCTCTCATTTAGGGACTAAGTGTCCCAAAACTCTCCGAAACTCAAAACCGAACATCCCGGCAAATTAAAATAGCAGAAATAAACTCGGGAAAAATAGTTAATAGGGGATCGGGGCATTAATTCTTAAGACGACTGGCCGGGTCGTCACAATCTCTTTGATGCGCCCACTCATCTAATTTTGTGATAGTGTAAGTGCCTATATCTTACGATGAATCCTATATAGCAATCTCGTACAAAGCATCGTGTAGTTGATTATCACTTTATACAAGAATGTGTAGCCTCTGGATCTATTCTTGTTCATTATCTACCAACGGAGCGCCAACTAGCTTACATTCTTATGAAGGGCCTCTCCTATCATCGATTTAAGACTCTCCGAGACAATCTTGGTATGTCCTCATACTCGATTGAGGGGGCGTGTTGATATACATATATATTTTACCATATTTGCCTATGAATTGTTATATGTTACCCTTCTAAATAAGGGTATTCTTGCATTTTATAATTATGTACTGATTTATAAATACAATGACATCCCCAAACATTATTATGGGGAATTATTATATGGTAGTGGAGTGGCTTCATATCCATTTATAAACGGAAATTTGGAAAAAAAAATTAAAATTCAAATATGCTTGCTTGGATGGTTCAAACCACCTAAGCATTGTGACATGATCCTAATTTCGGTAGTAAAGTTAAGTTCGTCACTCTTTCTCATATACATTATGAGAAGAGATTACGATAGCAAGCCCCAGAGATCTTTCTTTGGTTTCTTTTATGAACTCCACTGTTCGTCCATGAATTATATGAGCTTTCCATTATAAAGATATGAACTTTTGTATCCTACTTTGCAAATCATATTTCCCTTAGGCATATAGATATTCAACTCGGTTTATGCATGTCCTTTAACATAAGACCAGTTTATTCGGAGAGAGGGTGTGTATCTTGTGTGTGTAAATTATAATGTATGTGAGTTGGACATCGAAGGAACGCTGAAATCCAAGAACTGAGTTTTACAACCTATATACATACAAAGGCAAAACATGTTGTAGATCTCTTCCTCTTTATGCAAATGCTAGATTGAAATCGATCTCTATCTACTTGGAGTGGGCAATAAATGAAAAATCCAAAATTGTTTTTCCTATTTCAAGAAGTTAATCAAGTGGATAGTTCTGGTGATCACAAGCTATTTGAGAATCCATCTATATTGAGGGAAAAAAATAAAATGATAAAAGTAATTATAAAATAGCTCTTTATTAAAATAGCTTTTTATTAATGACCAACAATGTAAAAATCTCTAAGATATAACAGCAGCAGTAACAATAAGAATAGTCACGCATATGAGTTGGTTTAAACCCAACATTAAATTAAACATTACTCTTGTCCCTTTCTTCATTTGTCTGTCTAATAAAGAATGATGTATTTTTACGTTTGAAATATAATTTAACTTTAAACTTTCCGTCATATCATTAATAATATGATTACATAATATTTGTGGCTTATTTTAAATCATAAATTTCAATAATTGTTCATTCTTTCTTAAATTATGTGTCTAATCAAATTACATCACGTTAAATGAGACGGGGGGGGGGGGGGGGGGGAGTATTAATTTTATGCATTTCATCAAGTTTACATTTCCCTTATGGATCAAAGAATGATATGACTCGGTCTGGTCAAATTTCAAACATTACTTTTAATTTTATAAACAATACTTATCTATTTACAATTAACAGAAAGCAAGAAATTTAGAGCATTAAAAATGTATTATTAAAAAGCTCATTTCCCAAAAAAGGTCATTATATTTGGTAAGTAATATATATAACAAGCTATATATTTTGCATAGAGGGATTACACATTACTGTTTAATACTAGTCAGTATAATAAATTTAGGCATCCAGAACTAGGAAACTACTGGTTTGACTTGTCTATTAAGAAAGTACATTTAATATTATAAGGGATTTAATTAATATTATAAGGGATTTAATTAATATTATAACTGAGCTTCTATTACTGGTTAAGATATCCCCAATGTGTATTTTTAACTTGCTTATTGTAAAAGAATTAAAGAAGAAGAAATTACCATTAACAATGAGAGCTTCAAACATATTAGAGTGTGATTGTGATTGGATCGTCTATCTATTGTTTAATATCTTATTTATTTATGTAATTTTTATTGTCAATTTGATTTAGCCGATAAATAACCGCTCGATATCTGCTTGATTATCGCTAATCCGATACCAATCCGCCTAATATCTTATTGGGTAGCTAGCGGATTAGTACATTTACAAACCGGTAACCGATAAGCCGAACCGTTAAACATAAATATCTACCCAATCCGCCCGATAAAAAACCCTAGTTTAAACATCAAAAAAGTAATTTTTCTTTTTGTTTTTCAGGCATGTAGAATTAGGAAATTACTGGTTTGTCTAGTCTATTAAGAAGATAGATTTAATTATTAAGGGATAAAACACTCCTTACCCAGAAACAAGATAGTCCATATTTTTAGAAGAAAACTTCATAATTCTTACCTTGACAATTAACTGGTCGAAAAATATTCGAGATCTTATCTATCTTTTCATTGCTTCTTGAACTTGAGGTGGCGTGATAGTGAAAACAGCAACAGCATGGCTTTGCCTCTCAATATTTTCTGCCCATCCTGAACATATCAATTTACAAAATATTAGGATAACACTCATTTTTGGTTACGTTTACGCTAATATTTTAATTTTTCCCTGTTACTATAATTGTGAATATGAGAAAATTACCAAGACTAGGGTCAAATCCTTGACGATGAAGCTCACGATACTCTTGACACAATGCACAATAACAGCAAAGTGTATGAGTAATGCAATCAAGAACGCCGTTCCCTTCCAACTTGAACTTTTTTCTCAATTTAACCCTGTTGTAAAATGTGTAAAGGGGTGCAGCCAAACAACAACATAGCAACAAGTTTACTATCACTCCTTCCATGCATGCTGTCCCAAAAAGGAAAAAAAAAATTAGAGAATAAACATAAACGAAAACAAATTTTCAAAAGCTCGACAAATATATCATAGGATTAATTGTTTGTCTTACACGTTCGTCCTTCACTGACAATTTCTGTAACATGCCCGGATGTTATACATGGACAAAAACATGTTGTAAGACCTATACACAAAGGAAAAATATCATTAGGCATATTCATAAAATTATAAGAAAATGATTTATACATCAAGAAGAAAAACAATAATTATGCTTCAATTTATAAAATTATAGGAAACTAAGCCTATCTAAGCTTGCTTATATTGTCGATTCCAACACCGGATAAACAAAGAAGGTTACAATAGGTTGGCCGTACACATAAAATTGGTCAATTTATAATGAATCCCGACCAGAATACAGAACGCAAAATGATGTATGAAGGAAAAAACAACGGCGGGACATACAATTTTTGGGGTCTCTACAACATGCAAAAATGTTGGTTGACCAAGTTGTCTCTTGCATTGGTTTGGTTATTCCAATAGGGGCTCTTTGGACATATACATTAGACCCAGAAGATCCATATGGTGGAGGAAGTTGTTGTGTTGGGGGCATACCATACCCATAAGGTAATAAATGAGGGTAAAAATATGGTTGAGAAGATTTTTCTAATGATTTAGAAGCGAATTGGTCATACCCATTCGAGTTTATATGGGGATACATTGTTAATTATTAGCAGAAACAGAGATCAGGACAAAACAGACATGGAAGAGAGGGATAGCAAGAAGAAAAAAGGAAGGAGGAGGGGAGAGAAGTAAGGGCTTTAGTTCTTGATTTTTGATCGAGGGAGTTGAATTATTTTTCCCCAAGAATTTGTTTAAACAATTTTCTTGGTAGCTAGGCAGGGCCACATTGGCTCCTAATTTTTTACCAAAAGAAAAAATGGCTAAATTGATTACACTTTTAGGAGTGGAAGACTAATGGATGGTTATTAAGTATGCAGATTCTTGGAGTTTTGTGACCCGCGCACTTGTCATTTGCTTATTTGATTTATCTTTTAACTCAAGGAGTGTATAAATTCAGTAAGGACAATAAAGGATTAAATCATTAAATGTTGTGAAAATACGCCTCTTAAGAATCGTTTCAGAATTTTAAAATGCTACAATTTCTCNCGCAGTTTGGTATGTTTGTATGGCCGATTAATTACTTGGTCAGCATGAAATTAGGTGTAATTATGTAACCACACAAACGATCGTTTTGTGTATTTGAACCCTGTTTCCCTATTTGATGTTTGTTGTATGCTTGCTTGTTTGTTTTGTGACTTGCGGGGATGGTTCGTTTGGTTTCGGAAAGGTTTTGGAATGAATTGGAACACTTAGTTCCTTGGTTGGAAGATTAAGTTATAAGAGTTACCAATGTTTGACCTTTTGGGTAAACAACCCCGGATCACTATTTTGATGGTTCCAATTGGTTCGTATGGTAATTTTGGACTTGGGCGTATATCCATAATTGAATTTGAAGGTTCCTATGAAATTTTAACATTTTTTGGCCGAAAGTTGGAAATTTGGAGGTTTGGAGAGTTCACAAGTTTGATTGGGGTTGACTTTGATGATATCAGATTTGGATTTTAATTTCGGAAGATGGAATCGGTTCGCATTTTCATTTGGGACTTGTGTGCGTTTGGACACAATCCAGATTGGTTAGGCTTGAATCAGACGTTTGATTCAAAGTTTGGAAGTTAGTGAACTTAAGAGAATCTTAACATGTGATTTGGCCGTCGATTATTAGGTTTGATGTTAGTTGTGGTATTTTGAGTACTGGGACAAGTTGGGCTAAGGTATTGGAATTGGTTGGTATGATTGAATGGGTCCCGAAGGGCTCGGGTATATTTTGGATAGGTTTTGGATCATTTTGATGTTTCTAGGCAGGTCTGGTGCTGGTGCATCTGCAAAGTGTGGTACACAGATGCTATGTCGCACCTACGAGTAAGAAGTCTGCACCTGCGATGGAAGGTCTGGGACTAAAAGTCTGGAGTTGCGCAAGGGAGGTTGCTCCTGCAGAGGGCGTGGTTTGGTTGCAATTGTGGAGCTGCAGATGCACGAGCTGCGTGGGCAGGTGCAGAAGGTCGGCATTTTAAGTGAAGCTCGCAGAAGCGAGACTTGGGCCGCAGGTTCGACTTCGTAGAAGCGAAAGTTGGACTGCAGGTGCGAAATCACTGGGTAGAATATTATAATCGAGGAATTGGATTCATTTTGTCATATTTTTTTAGATGGGAGCTTGGATTGGGGCGATTTTTTAGGTAATTTTTACCCACTTGAATTGGGTAAGTGTTATTAACTCGGATTTGATTATTATTCGTGATTCTATTATTGATTTGGCTTTTGGTTGATGAAATCTAGTGGAAAAAATTGGAGTTTTTGTAAAAACAAATTTGATAATGAATATTTAAGATTTGAACTCCGATTTAGAGTCGGACTTGAATAAAACTTGTGCTGAGATGATTAATTATGTCATCAGTGGTTGTATACTTGTAAAGTAGCTAGTTAGTTAATTTGTCAAGAGGCTAGTTTAGCTATTCATTTTTAGTTAGGGAATTTTGTAGATATTGCTAACATAGATATCAAATAAAGTCGGTTGGCTCATTCCATATATTTTCTTTCTCTCTGTTCGTTATGCACTCTCTCTATCTCTCTCTGACCTCAATTGTTGCTCATCTCAAGCTTGAGCTAGGTGAGGGCGTGTGTAATTAACATGGTATCAGAGCCCGACTATTCCATCACGATCATCTCTTCTATTTCGTTATTTCTCTTCCGTTCATCGTTTCTTTGATTTTGCCCTAATTTGTTCGATTCCCAAGGTCAGTTTCATTTGCCCTAAACAAGAGCTTCTTCTTCCAATAGAATAATACTACCAAACTAGTTTTAATTACTCATTGTTGTGGACGATTTCAGCGATTAGATAGTACAGTAGTGAATGTTGGAGTTTAAGGAAATTCCGGAATCGATCCAAGTGATCCTTTATATTTGCACCCGTCAGATAATCCTGGTGATATGCTTGTGTCAACTTCTTTCAGTGGAGTTGGTTATCGATCATAGAGGTGCAGTGTATTGCGAGGACTATCAGTCAAAAATAAACTAGGGTTTATAAATTGTGAGTTCAAGCGCCCAGACCCTCACTCGCCCACATTCTGTCAATGGGAGTAATGTGATGATATGGTGACCTCCTGGATCCTCAATTCTCTCTCGAAGGACATTGCTGAAAGTGTTGAATATGCAAATGATGTTGTGAAGTTATGGATTGAGTTAGAAGATCGATATGAGCAAACAAATGAAGCTAGATTGTATCAAATTCAAAAGAAAATAAATTATACATCTCAGGGAACCCTTGATATCACTAGCTACTACACTAAATTAAAAAAAACTTTGGGAAGAATTGAGCACTCTGAGTAAAAGGTCCCAATGCAGCTGTAATTGTACTTGTGGTGCCAAGGAAAACTTCTACAAAGCTGATCAGGATAGGCGGCTAATACAATTCCTCATGGGTTTGAATGAGACATATACTGTAATTCGAGGAAGCATTCTCATGATGAATCCATTGCCAACATTGGCTCAAGCCTTTTCCTTGCTAATACAAGACCAGAAATAGAGGAAAATCAAACCAAACACTCAATTGTTCATTGAATCCACATCATTGAATGCCACCAACTCTAGGTCTAATACCTACATGACCAATTACTCACCCAACAATGGCAAGCACAGTGGTTATGGAAGAGGAAGGCCTATGTGTGACTACTGCAAGAAGCCAGAGCATACTAAAGACAAGTGCTACAAACTACACGGCGATCCTGATAATTCTGAATATTCACGCAATCAAAATCATAATCATAATCAAAGCTTCCATCAAAATAAAAATTTTAATCGAAATCAGAGTTTTAACAAAGGAAAAAGGGTGGTGGCTAATGTTCACCCCGACACATCTTGCAACAAGGTAGAGGAAGCTAATGACTTGAATAAAGATCAAAACATCAACTTATCAAAAGAGCATTATGGACAAATCATGAGTCTGGTGCAACACTTTCAAGCTAGGAATGGAGGAGTACATATAAATGTTGGTAATTCAAGCAATAGAGCTGTGAACATTGTAGGCATAGTAGTTTGCACTTCCTCTATAGATTTTGGTAAATTGTCATGTAAGTGTTTCAAAAACAACACTGATTCTTAGATATTAGACTCAGGGGCTTCAAATCACATGACCTTTAATAAATCCCAACTTACCAATATTGTGACATTACCTTATCCACTCCTAGTTGTCCTCCCAAATGGCTATAAAGTAAAAGTAACAGAAATTGGTAGTGCAATATTTGTGCCTGACATCACCTTACATAAAGTAATGTTTATACCCTCATTCAAATACAATCTAATTTCCATTAATTGTCTAGCCAGTTTTAACCCCAAGAATATAGTAGCTTTCATTGATCATCTTTAAATTCTGCAGACCCCTTTAATGAAGAGGCCTCTGGAGATTGGTAAGGCCTGTGATGGTCTGTACTTTCTTTGCCCAAAGTGTCTGAGGAATAGGTACTCAGGTTCTGTAGTCAGCAATTCAGTTTCTTGCCCTAATGATAGGTCTCACTACACACAGTTTACCATGTCATGATCATTCATTTGTACATAGCTCAATTTCCACAAATAAGTGTGTATTTTTCCCCTTTGTAAATATTTCAAGTTCAAGTAATAAAAATCAGAGTTCCAATCTGAATCCTTGTGCATCTAGTGGTTATGATATGAATATTTTGTGGCATAATAGGCTAGGGCATGTACTCTTTATCAAAATAAGAGGGATTTCCTCTATCTCTGTCCCTTTCCCATCCAAACAACCTTTCCTATGTTCCATCTTCCCAATGGCCAGACAAGGGAGACTGCCATTTCCCCAGAAAACCACCTTCACAACTGAAAATTTTCAATTACTCCACATAGACATATGGGGACCTTATCATGTGACAACACATGATAATTACAAATATTTTATTATAATGGTAGATGAATACAGTAGGTGCACTTGGACCAACCTTCTAACTTGCAAAAGCAATACCCTACAAGTTATAAAAACCTTTGTTTCCATGGTTGAAACCCAATTCAACACCAAAATCAAGACTATCAGATCTGACAATGGTTCAGAATTTACTAGTATAGAAGCAAACTTATTTTTCCAATCCAAAGGCATCATCCATCAAAGGAGTTTCCCCTACACACCACAACAAATGGCATAGTATAAAGAAAACATAAATATCTCCTAGAAACTGCTAGAGCACTATTGTTTGAATCAAAATTGCCTTTAAAGTACTGGGGTGAATTCCTTCTGTGTGCATACATCATAAATAGACAACCTTCTTCCCACAGTCACCCCAAATCCCCATTTGAATTACTTTACAAAAGAAAACCAACATACTCTCACATGAAGAGCTTTGGATGCCTGTATTATCCCTCTGTACCAAAGGTGCATAGGGAAAATTTTGAATGTAGAATATGACCACACATATTCATTGGTCATCCCTATGGAGTCAAGGGGTACAAGGTGCTAAGTCTTGCCACTAAAAAGATATATGTCTCCACGGATATTGTTTTTATTGAAAATATGTTTCCATTCACTCTATCATCTGAAACCACATCCTTTTATTCTGTTTTTAATCATGCCCCTTTCATTGATCACACTCCTAAGATTGATAAACATATTTGTAATAGTGATGATGGCACAAGTGTTACACATAATCAACATTTAGAGCATGATACTCCTTTAATACCTGTGAGATCCTCCGGATTAACTTAATCTTCCACCTCATCACCACAATCTAACACACCATAGTCTTCAAGCCAAAGCACATCACCTGTTAGGGATCAACCAGTCCC